AGGAGGAGGAGGAGGTGTGTGTTGATCCCAGAATAGTGGATGGTATGGCCGCAGGCCTCCGTACCCTGCTCCCCCCCTCGCGTGTCGTGGCAAACAGAGCCAGTAGAGCCCGTTATCGTGTCCTCGCCGTGGTGTAGACCATCGAAAGCCAGGATTCAAATGCCGCCTTTTTGGTGACTTCCGTGATGGGCCACCCCAATCTGCGCGTGAGGCCGTCGGTCCGGACCCGCACGCCGTGGCGAAGGTCGTCATTTGCAGGACACTCTCAGTAGTGGTGTTCCAGCGTTGGTACGTGTTGCCCGCCACAATGTTCACATGTGATTGATGCGTCTTCCCATCTGTGGGACTGTAGAAGCGCATCTGGCATCATGCACCCACATAGGACAGCGGTCATGTGGGAGGCCAGGTCGGGGGTACTGCGTAGAGCATGAGTGACGCGCAAGGCGACCGCCGGTTGTGGGATTCCCGCTGCCAGGGGACTCTCCCGGCGAGTGCGGTTCTGGAGAATAGACCACTCGGTAGACCGTATGATTAGGCGGAGCTCGTGCAATTGCTTGCCCATCCCGTCAGTCAGGCGGACGGTCCCTTCCGGTGCTTTCCATTGCCCGTTGTCGTGCGGCCGGGCACCAATGGTGGCCAGGTGGGCTTCATGTGCGTAGATCGGTCCCTTCGCTTGCGCACGTGAGACGGCGCGAACCCAGAAGTCGATGGTGCCTCGCCCCTGGCGGCGTAATCGGCATCGGAGCAGCTGTAGTGAGCGCTGGCAGAGGTGGTCGCCCACGTCCGCCAAGCGCCCCATTAGAAGCATCCGGAGCAGTTCTGGGGCTACACCCCTCCACTGTCTGAGTGGTACTGCCCTTCTGGCAAGATGTCGGTGGGTGTCGATCATGGTCTTCGTAGGCGGTGTGAGGAACAAAACGCCCAAGTCGGCACAGGTAGTGCCATTGTCGTAGCCGCAAGCCGCCGTAGTCGAACTGAGAGTGGGAGAGACCCAGACCCCCGACGTCATGATTTTTTCATGACGCGACCCCCAGAGGTCCGGACCCATTCCCCGGGACCGGTTTGTCATCCTGAGTCGTTTTTTGACGCTCCCGAGGCCCGGTGAGGGCCCCCCGAGGCCGAAAATGGCGAAAAACCTCCCGTCATGATTTTTTCATTACTCGAGGGGGTCTGGGGAGGCTATGCGCTTGAGTCGCGCACATCCTCCCTTGAACTCCTTGAAGTTCCGCCTGAGCGCGGCCCGACGATCTTCCCCTCGCCAAGTCATCAAAAGCGGGGCCGCGCGCGAGCGCCGGGGGGACGCGCGCCAGTCTCAACGTCGCTTCGCCGCCATGGGCTACGATATCATGGGAGGAGGTGTTGGAGCCGGCGGGGCCCGCAGACTCGAACGACTGGGCTAGCCTGAGTCCCGCTCCTGCTCCCCTTCCCCTCTCCCCTTGCCGGAGGACGCGCTCGCACTCTCCCTCCCGGTAGGTCGGGGGGAGGGCGAGACAGGGGGGTCCGATACAGTGGAGGTCAGTCCACGAGAAACCGTCGATACAAAAAAACAACCCTGAGACCCCAGGGCGTCCATTGTTTTTTGGTGTGGGGAAGTCACGGCTTCCATCGCAGAACCATCGAAACCCAAGACACCCAAGGCACCCTGGAGGCAAGCAGGGTGTTTCTTGGCATGGGCCTCCACTGTACTTTGAGGCGCGTCTTGGGGCGCTGTTGGCGCTCACGGGACTTCCGGAGCCACCATGCGGCCCCACCACGAAGGCCTCCGGGACCTCTCCGCAGGACCTCCGGAGGCCCCCCGCAGAGGCAGCAAAAAAAACAAGACTTTCAGAGCCTTCGCCCCCGCACGAATGTGGCCCCGTCCCTCGATCCACAGAGCATCCTGCACCCTCGATCCCCTTGCACAACGCCCCGACCCTCGACGAGGGCTCCGGAGGTCTCCAGCAGGCTCCCCCCCCCGCAGCGAAAACGCGAGAACGTGGAACAAAACCTCGGCCCTCGCTCTTGGAATATCGTGGGAGCCCAAATCCTCGAATCTCTCGAGCTCTCGAGCCTCTCGAAACTCTCGAGCATCTCGATCCTCGCACTCCTGGAGCCTCGACGACGGCCCGACCTCCTGGCGCCCAGGGGCTGCCAAAGAGAGGCTGGGCCCGCCTCGAAATTCTCGTCAACACGCACCCCTGGAGAGATCCGGGTGGCGATTTTCGAGCGGAGGGAAGAAGAGGAGGAGAAGAGGAGGCGGAGGAGGAGGAGAGGAGGCGGAGGAGGATGATGATGATGAGGAGGAGGAGGAGAGGAGGAGGAGGAGGAGGAGGAGGAGGAGGAGGAGGAGGAGGAGGAGGAGGAGGAGGAGGAGGAGGAGGGGAGGAGGAGGAGGAGGAGGAGGAGGAGGAGGAGGAGGAGGAGGAGGAGGAGGAGGAGGCGGAGGAGGACGAGGAGGAGGAGGCGAGGAGGAGGAGGAGGAGGGGGGAGAAGGAGGAGGAGGAGAGGAGGAGGACGAGGAGGAGGAGGGAGGAGGGAGGAGGAGGAGGGGAGAAGGAGGAGGAGGAGGAGGAGGAGGACGAGGAGGAGGGGAGAAGAGGGAAGAGGAGTAGGAGGAGGAGGAGAGGAGGAGAGGGGAAGAGGGAAGAGGAGTAGGAGGAGGAGGACCAAGTCCCCTCCTCGTAGGTCCCTCCTCCATCAGACTTCACAAAAGCCCTCCTTCTCGCTGCAAGGAGCGCCCCCCCCGCTGGAAAGATTGGCACTCCGTGGCCCTGCCATGCAGGCGACAGCCCTGCTGCAGGCGCATCGTGCTCATTTCTAACTGCGTTCGTTTCCAATTGTTCCTTGTTCTGATCGTGTTACTTTCGATTGCTTCCCTTCGTTTCCACTGTGAATCGACTAAGTCGTGTTAATCGTCCTTGTTTCCAATGGTCTCCATCGCTAAATTATAATCGTGCTCGTTTCGAGTGGTGCTCGTTTCTAACCGTTCCTGGCCCCCTACTGGCCAGGAAGAGGCCCAGGAAACAATAGGTAGAAATGGAAGGATCTTGCCCCCCCCCAAAAAAAAACTGTCGCAGGATTAGAAAGGAGCAAAGTGAACATCTCTCTATGGCGTAATCTGGAACGCGACGAGGTGCACTCATACAATGCAACGGGGTGTCCAGCGAGATGGTCGCTTTCATATAGGGCGCCCCACCCATCCGGGCGCTTCGAGAACACCTGACGCGAGAGTCCCACTCTGAAGAACGAACGCCCTCCATCCGTGCAGCTGCTGCGTGGGTTGAAGCTTCGGGTCTTTGGTTTACGGCCTCCAATATATACATATATATATATATAGAGAGAGAGAAGAACAAAAAAGGGGGAAGAGAGAGGGAGAGAAGATCATGCACATGTCGCAGATTCCTGAAACCTGTGCTCACGGCGTTAAGGCGAGAACTCCATAACAAAACCACCCCCTCCATCCTTGAAGCCGCTGCAAACTTTCAACACGAAGATGTGCGGCGCAGAGGCGAAGGCCCCAATTTGAAAACCACCATCCCTCCATCCGAGCAAACGCGTGAAGCTTTTAAAAGCGACTGTGCAACGCACGACAACTAGAGCTCTATTCTGAAAACAGCCTCCCCTCCTTCCGTGAAGCTGTTGCGCACTTCAAGTTTCCAAATCATGAAGGTGAAACGCCCGGCCCTCTTACCGACACGTCTGGGGGTGCGACCGGATAAGGAGAAGGGACGGAGGAGGAGAGGAGGAGGAGGAGAGGAGGAGGAGGAGGAGGAGGAGGAGAAGGGAGCAGGGAGGAGGAAGGAGGAGGAGAAGGATGAGGATGGAGGAGGAGGAGGAGGAGGAGGAGGAGGAGGGGGAGGAGGAGGACTGTCTCCCCCGACGTTGAAATCCGCCGACCCCTCGTGGGTCTCTAGGCGTGTGAAATAATCCCCCCCCGTAATCCCCGTCCCAGGGAGCCCAAACCGGCAATTCGACCCCCGCCCCCCCCAGGCCGAGCGCGACCCCGGACCGAACGCGCCACGGGGGAGCGGAGGGCTCCAAAACTGGCCAGGAAGGCACCAAAACGCTCCCGAGACGGTCCCAGGGGACCACGACGCCCACGATGGCCTCAAGGCGGCCTCCGAAGCTGCCAAGACGCCCCAGAAGGCCCCCAAGATGCGTCCCAAGAGGGTCCCAAGAAACAACATCGTCCCATTCCCTTCGAAAAACAAGCATGTTTCGCATGCTCGCCTATTCGGTTTTCACAACGTTCCAGACGGGCAAAGAAACCTTCAATATCGCCCCCAGACGGCCAAATGGGCCCCCAAGAAGGGTCGAAGAGGGTCCAACAGCCCACGAAGCCCCCAAGACAGCCCAAGAGGGCCCCCAGACGGCTCCAAGACGGAGTCCAGAGGGCACCTTTTCGAGCCTTCGGCCCCAAGACGCCCCCAGCTTGCCCCAAGAACAATCCAAGAGGCCCTGAGGGACCCCCAAGAGAACCTCAAAGGCCTCCAAGAAGCCCCCAGGAAGCCCCCAAGAGGCCCAACACTTGGCCCAAGATGCCTCGAGGCGGCCGGATATGGCCTGCAGACAGGCCAAGATGCCACCAAAAGGCCACAAAAGAGCACCAAGAGGTACGATAACAGCAACGAGGCAACAGGAACGATGCCGAGCGCCGTGTCATGACTCGGACAAGCCTTGTGAAATGCAGTCCTGGAGGCGCAATCGTTTATATAGGGGTCGGCGGATGTGGCGCAAGCCTACAGAATCGTTTCGTGGCTGCGGCCTTCGGGGATCTCGACCACTTCCCTGTGGCCAGTGTGTCATCCTCTGTCACTGTTTGATTGGCCTGGGGCCAGGGAAGTGGCCTCACGAGGCCGAACACGCGCTGGCCGTCGTGCTTCTGCGACGCCTGAGTCCGCCCTCCCGCTGACTGGCGTGTCACAGCTCGGGCTTCCTGCGGCTCCTCGGGGCGATCTCGGCACCGCCGGAACGCTCTCGGCGAGGCGCAGCTGTTGGAAATCGCCCCGAGCCTGGAAAGGCGCCAACATAACAGGACAACACAGGAAAACCCCACACTTCGAAGGAGGAGGAGAAGGAGGAGGAGGGAGGAGGGAGGAGGGAGGAGCAGTAAGAGTAAGAAGAAGCCGCACCGACACGCCGCCCAGGCCGAGCCACAGGGTCTTGCGGTCTGGCGGCGCCATGGTCACCGTCCACACCGTGCCCCAGACGCCCTGCCAGAACAACGCAACAGGGGGGATGACCATCCGAGACACATGGCCAGAGCAACCAAATACGCAAGCTCGATGTTCGAGGTTCGAGGTCTTCAGGAATTTCCGTCGAACCCCCGAGGATTTCCATCCGCTGGATGCTTTCCAGCAGAGGTGCCTCGCCGATGGCGTTCCTGGGGTGCCTGGATGGTCCTGAGCGGCAGCAAGAAGCCTGAGCTTGGGCCCGAAGACCTCCTCCTTCTCCTCCGCCTCCTCCTCCTCTCCTCCTCCTCCTGCTCCCTCCTCCTCCTCTCCTCCTCCTCCTCCTCCTCCTCCTCCTCCTCCTCCTCCTCCTCCTCCTCCTGCTGCTCCTCCTCCTCCTCCTCCTCCTCCTCCTCTTTCTCCTCCTCCGCCTCCTCCTCCTCCTCCGCCTCCTCCTCCTCCACCTCCTCTTCCTCCTCCTCCTCCCTCCCTCCTCCCCCTCCACAAGAAGTCCTGCCACAGCGTGGGTCGGAGGCTGCCAGGGCTCGGATCGCCGACGACGCGCTCTTTCGGTCGCGGCGTGCTTCTCTATTCCTTTCGGGGCCCCTGGTGTCCGCCGTGGGGTACGCCTGGGCCACCAACGCTCGTAGGACGAGAAGCTGCACGTGGGGAGGTAGGTGGTCGGGTCCCCTGGGGCCAACAGCAACAGCAACAACAATACGTTTGAGACTGTTCGCTCTTACTGGCACGCGTGTCTTGCATTCCGTATACCCCAACCCTCGATGCCCGCCCACTTCGTCTTCGATTGCACCCCCTTTCTGGGGGAATCTCTTCCTTGTCGGCCACTGACTGAAGTGCGAGGAAATTTCGACCGAGAGCGCCGTTCCTGAGTTCGGGGACCTCTCTGGTCAGGGGCTCTCGGAACACCTTTGGAGAAATATCGAAAGGGAACCCTTGTGGCCGTGTCCGGGCCTCTACCAACTTGCCTGAATTGCGAAAAAGTCTCGAGCGAGAGCGCCGTTCATGAGTTCGGGGGACTTCTTGGCCAGGGGCTCTCGAAGTAAATCGTGAGGAAGTATCGAGCAGGAGCCCTTGTCACCGTGGCTGGGCCTCCGCCAACTTGATTCACTTGAGAGGAAGTCTCGAGCGAGAGCGCCGTTCCTGAGTTCGGGGGCCTCTCTGGCCAGGGTGTCTCGGGGTAAATTGTGAGGAAGCATCGAGCAGGAACCCTTGTCGTCGTGGCTGGGCCCCCGCCAACTTGATCGAATTGCGAGGAAGTCGTCTCGAGCGTGAGCGCCGTTTCTGAGTTCGTGGACCTGTCTGGTCAGGGTGTCTCAAGGTAAACTGTGAGGAAGTATCGAGCCGGAGCCGGGTTGTCGTAGGGCCTCCAAGGGCCCACATTTAGGCTCAAGCCAACGCTCGAACGGGAGCCTCGTTTTCAGAGAACATGTAGCCGGCGTCGAGGCGAGAGCGCACGGAACCGCTTCCGGAGATTAGCAATACTTATTCTTTAGATATGAATATTCAACAACATTCCGATCGAGCGCCCTAGGACGTCTCGACCCGCTTGCGGGAACGGCGTGATTCTTGCACAAAAGAAGAACACGTGCAGCGGAAAAATGCGAATATTGAGCACACCCCTCGCGGACTGGCTGCACACAACCTCGCGGATTGCTACACACACGGTCCCTTGGGGCCGCGAACGGGAAACAGCAGCGAAGAGATCGTCGGATGTCTGGGACTGTACAGTGGGAGCTCCACCACAAGAAGCCTTCCACAAGAAACCCAAGCCTGAGACCCCAGGACGTCCACTGATTCCTGGTGTGGGAACGTCACGGCTTCCATGGCAAAGCCATCGAAACCCAAGAAACTCAGGGCACCATGGAGGCAAGCAAGGTGTTTCTTGGCATGGTTCCCAGTGTGTATGGGACGAGAAGCTGCACCTGGGGAAGTGGTCGGATCCGCTGGGGCCGCGAACGAGAAACAGCAGCAAAAGGGCCGTCGGATGCCTGGCACCGCAGGGGCATCGCCACCTGCTCCAGGAGGACGAGCCATTTGGGGCAGGATCGGTCAGCATCGAATCGGGTAGTCGGGTCGGACCGGAACGTGCGTCGGATCGGGCCGCACGGGCACGGGGCCGAATTCGAGTCGGATCGGCTGCGCTGAGTGCACAGCAAGCCATGCAAGCCTTGGTCGCATCGGATCGTCGGAGCATCGTAATCGGATCGGATCGAGCCTGACAACATCGATAACGAATCGGATCGATCAAATCGAAATGGGCCCTGCTAGGGGGGTCGCCACCTGTTCGAGGAGGACAACCCCTCAGGAGCTTCAAAGCCCCCCAGAACCTCCCAAACGCTCAAAACTGGCAAACATCTCCTCGACCCTTGATCCTCGGACCTCGATCCTAAGGAGAAGCTGGCGACCCCAGTGGCGACCGAGCTTGGCCCTGCCTGACCTGCAGCGACTGCGTGGCGCCCATGAGCAGCTTGGCCAGGTACATCATCCACTCGGGGGCGATAGGGGGATTCGAGCATCGAGGTTCGAGGATTGGAGCGTGTGGGGCCCTGTTCGGGCCTCCGGGGGGCGCCTTCTCGTCGCTACGGCTGGGTACACCTTAACATGCTGGTCAAAACGCACATCTGGATAGGTCAAGGTGGCATCGCTTGAGAAGAGGAGGAGGAGGAGGAGGAGGAGGAGGAGGAGGAGGAGGAAGAGAAGGAGCAGGAGGTGGAGGTAGGTGAAGAACATAAGAAGAGGGGCGCGAAAGGGGGACTCGGCAGCCGCTGGCCCGGAGCCACCCAGGCAGCCCGACGAGAAAGCCACGGAGACCGACTCGGGCACTCCTGGGCGCCGCTTGATGGGGGGCGATACACGAGGGGGGGAAGAGAGGTACACTCCTCGGGCCCTGCAGGGCCCCTTGTGGGCCCCAAAGGGCCCCTTCAGGGGCCCTGAAGGGCCCCTTTTCCGCAGCCCCCGCTGCCCCCCTCCCGCCCCCTGTGTGTGAAGTCCGCTCAGATCACCATTATATCACTACATACCGCTAGCGTATCGGCTCGGGTATTGGTGTACAGACCGCGCTGCCCTCCGCGCAACGCCCTGGAAAAAGATTAGCCACCCTCTTCCTCACTCACCTCTACCTACGGGTTACCGTGTAGGTTCGACTCCTCGGTCGTTAACCTATCCCCCCCCCCCCCCCCGTTATTGCCCCCCCCACTTACGCGACGCCCAACCTTCTGGCCACGGTCGCCCTGCCGGAGCAGAGGGGCAGCAGCACCAGAGAGGCGGCCAAGGCCAGACTCATTGCGCAGGCCGATGGCACGCCGCCTGAGGCCAAGAGCGACGAGCTGCGTGAAGCTCAGAAGCTGTGGGCCACGACGCAGCAGGAGGGCACCAAGGCGCAGGATGCCTCCTCGGAGGCCGAGGATGCGCTGAGGCTGGTGCCAATGGGGAGGTGTCGGGGATGGCATTAGCCAACAATTACGCTACCGAGGAACCCCACATACTTAACTTAAACATTGAGTGTTTGCTTAAGTTTATCATATATGTGCAATTCTGCGTTCTCAGCCCTCGTCGCAAATGTTCCCCTATGTGTCATCCAACGCCATATTGCTTGAACCTCCTCCCTCTTCCTAGCCTTCTATCCTCCGTCGAGGACAGATTCGAGCCAGCCAGCGGCCGCGGTGAGGGACTACCCCCTGCGCAGCCTCTATGGGGTCGAGAAAATGCCGCGCCTGCTATGCCCTGGACGACCGTCGTGCATAGCAGCCGCGGTGAAGGACCACCCCCTGCGCAGCCTCTATGGTGTCGAGAAAGTGCCACGCCTGCTATGCCCTGGACGACCGTCGTGCATAGCGGCCGCGCTGAGGGACCACCCTCTGCGCACCTCCTGTGGTGTCGAGAAAGTGCCACTCCTGCCACGATCTGCGAGCGTGTCACGGATAGAGGCCGCGCTGAGGGACCACCCTCTGCGCACCCCCTGTGGTGTCTAGAAAGTGCCACTCCTGCCAAGATCTGCGAGCGTGTCACGGATAGAGGCCGCGCTGAGGGACCACCCTCTGCGCACCCCCTGTGGTGTCGAGCAAGTGCCACTCATGCCACGATCTGCGAGCGTGTCACGGATACAGGACGCGCTGAGGGACCACCGACCTCTGCGCACCCCCTGTGGTGTCGAGACAGTGCCACTCCTGCCACGATCTGCGAGCGTGTCACGGATAGAGGCCGCGCTGAGGGACCACCCTCTGCGCACCCCCTGTGGCGTCGAGAAAGTGCCACTCCTGCCACGATCTGCGAGCGTGTCACGGATAGAGGCCGCGCTGAGGGACCACCCTCTGCGCACCCCCTGTGGTGTCGAGAAAGTGCCACTCCTGCCACGATCTGCGAGCGTGTCACGGATAGAGGCCGCGCTGAGGGACCACCCTCTGCGCACCCCCTGTGGTGTCGAGAAAGTGCCACTCCTGCCACGATCTGCGAGCGTGTCACGGATAGAGGCCGCGCTGAGGGACCACCCTCTGCGCACCCCCTGTGGTGTCGAGAAAATGCCACTCCTGCCACGATCTGCGAGCGTGTCACGGATAGAGGCCGCGCTGAGGGACCACCCTCTGCGCACCCCCTGTGGTGTCGAGAAAGTGCCACTCCTGCCACGATCTGCGAGCGTGTCACGGATAGAGGCCGCGCTGAGGGACCACCCTCTGCGCACCCCCTGTGGTGTCGAGAAAGTGCCACTCCTGCCACGATCTGCGAGCGTGTCACGGATAGAGGCCGCGCTGAGGGACCACCCTCTGCACACCCCCTGTGGTGTCGAGAAAGTGCCACTCCTGCCACGATCTGCGAGCGTGTCACGGATAGAGGCCGCGCTGAGGGACCACCCTCTGCGCACCCCCTGTGGTGTCGAGACAGTGCCACTCCTGCCACGATCTGCGAGCGTGTCACGGATAGAGGCCGCGCTGAGGGACCACCCTCTGCGCACCCCCTGCGGCTTCGAGAAAATGCCACTCCTGCCACGATCTGCGAGCGTGTCACGGATAGAGGCAGCGCTGAGGGACCACCCTCTGCGCACCCCCTGTGGTGTCGAGAAAGTGCCACGCCTGCCACGATCTGCGAGCGTGTCACGGATAGAGGCCGCGCTGAGGGACCACCCTCTGCGCACCCCCACCCCCTGTGGCGTCGAAGGAATGCCCTGTGTGCTATGCTGTGCTGTGCTGTGCTGTGCTGTGCTGCTGTGCGGTGAGCTGTGCTGTGCCGTGCCGTGCCGTGCCGTGCTGTGCTGTGCTGTGCTGTGCGAGAAGGAGAAGGGGAGGGGGGAGGTGTGAGACGCGGGTGCGGCGCAGCAGGGAAGAAAACCAGAACCCCACGAAACATGTGGGGAACAAGTCACCGTGTCAAACAAGACGCACAGGCCACAAAGCCGCTGCAGCCATGCGGAGTCTTGCTGTAACTCGCGAACTCGAATTCGTCGCTCGCAACGAATGGGCAGTGCGTTGAGCCAAACTGACTACGGAAACACATCGGAGAAGAAGGTAAGGAGGACGAGGCCAGGGTCCTGTTGAGGGCGTGCGTCGTCGAGTCGTCCTGGGCTTGGGCGCCTTGGAGGCTGCCTGGGGAGCAACGCCTCCCAACACTCCTCCTGGTTCCCCAACGTGGGTCCGTCTCGGAGCCTCTTCAGGCACTCCTTGGCTAATGTTTGGGCCGTCTGGAGCCGGCTTGGGCGGTCCGTGGGGCGTCCCCAGCTGTGATGGGCCCATCGGGTGCATGTTCAATGTAGTGGACTCTTTGGCACTCATCAGAATGTCACTGTTGTCCATGTGGGGGCGGACGCAGAGGTGCACGTGCACGGAGCGCAGGGCGCAGCGCAGGGCGTACGCCTTCTTCAGAGGCTCCCCCACGTGCTGCGAGATCGAGCAGAACTCCTCCTCCTCCTCCTCCTCCTCCTCCTCCTCCTTCTCCTCCTTCTCCTCCTCCTCATCCTACTCCTCCTCCTCCTCCTGCATCCCAGCCGAGGAGCGAGAAACGTTGACCCTCTGATCACGGTCCATGACTTATTGGGAGAACGTGCGGTGCTCTTCGCTGGCACCTCAAGCTTAGGAATCATCCAGTCACCCTCTTTGCAATGCGCCGTTGGGGGCATTTGTTGACGACTATCGGACGCACATGTTTCGCCGAGTCCAACTTCTTGTACGATGGGCTCGTACGGGGGAGGATGGAGAATATAGTCCGATGGGCCCATGAGGGGACAGGCTGACAATGGAAAGCCCACCGACAAGCGGCAGTCCCACAAGTGACAACCAGATGAAGACCATGGCCTGCCGACGTTTTATGACAACGGATTCTGTGTTGGCAATGAGGAGGCGGCTACGGGTATCTACCCGTATGTAACTGAATACGCTAGATGTAAGGTATCTGGAGCCAAAGCGGCTTGAGCCACACCCAGTAACGATTGGACTCTCTTGGGAAATCTTGGCATGCCATTGGGCCGTCTTAGGCACTCATGGAGCCCTCTGAGACCGTCCCGCTGCCAGCCCCACCTGTAAGTTACTTCACACATCTCTGTGCCCAAGATTGTCAACCGCAGGCATTGCGCCACTGCTCCTAAAACGCATGTTGGCTCGGTGTCGAATATACTGCTCCGAGATTGAAGAACTGCGTCTGCGAGGCCAGCCGAATACAGTCCCGCCCATTGTCGGCCCCTGGATCTCCGTACCCTACACATATTGTGTCATGCCGAGGAGCACAAAGTTCGTATCTTGCCATCGCTCGGACGTCCATTCCCCGTGCTGGTTTCGGCGTCAAGCGTGCATTTTTTTCGCAAGATGATCCAGGATGCCCCTCGATGAGCCTCGCCGAGAAAAATGCACACGTCCGAGCGATGCCGAGGTATGCTTAGCCCCGAGCTCAGAGAACGCAGCCGTACATAAGCACCAGGGTTCCGCTTCGCGGCCAGACGGTGCGCCATGTTGCGCCCTGTGGTGGGGTGGGGGGCTCCAAAAGGCCTGCAGTTTGTAGATACGTTCACAAAGCTTGCTGTAAGAAATCAAAGGGTGAAATGCTCGATCGATCTTGCTTGCAGTAAGAAATCACGGGGTGCAATGTCCGATCGACAGGGATGCCTCAAAACTCCCTTGGGTGCCCAGGGGCGTCGGGAAAGGAGAAGTCTCCGTCCATGGCGCACCTGCTTGCAGCAGTGGACGGTCACGGAGGCTGCTGACGAGACTCTGGAAGCTCGGGGGCGTCCGAGAGGGGGGCGTCCAAGAGGGGGGTGGGGCGCAAATCATGGCCGGCGGCATGTGTGCGGCCCAGGGGGGTAGCCGGGGACGTATTGAAATGAGGAGGACGCGCCCTGAAATCTGGAGAGATATCATGCCCCCCGCCATGATGTCCACACCTCCTACAGTCGGACCTGGGCCAGAAGAACATCCTTCAAGAACATGAGACCCTCCGCCTGCCAGAACACCCCCAACCAGAAGAGCAGTCGAGGGTGCCCTCCCCCAGGATGCACAAGAGCATCCAACAAGCACGAAGAACGTTAGGGCACCCTCCCCGAACCGACCTCGGTCTCATACCTCGGTCCGACTGTAGTCATCACCCCCCTCTTGGCCGCCCCCGAGAACCGCCGGAGGACCCAGACATCTGAGGCGAGGACGCGACTTGTTTCAATCGCGGCAGCCTTCCTTCACTCCAGACTCTCTGGGTCATCAAGAAAGACGACAAGCTGCCCAGGACTCGAGCTAAACAGTTTGCCGCTTTCGTTTTGCGTTCGCGACCCTTCATTCTGTCTTCGCTCTGCCTCTGCTGCGCAACGAAGTCAAAACGACAACGGCCCACGAAGTCGCTAGAGCACCGTTTCGCTCGAGCCACGAGTGCACTCTTCTTGCAGACCCCCCTGGGGGTCCTTGCTGCGCAGGCTGCCAAACGCGGCCGTGCACAGGCCGTTGATGAGCAGCCCGGTGCATAGCAGCAGCTTGACGTTGCAGAGCTGGAGGCTCCGGCCCCAGATGATGGACGTGGCCGTCATGCCGACCTCGCCGGGCCGGCAGAGCAGCCCTCGAGGAAGGACGCGTAGCCGTAGGTCGGGCATGTCCCCCTACAGGCGCATTTTGGACGAAGAATAAAAAGAGTGAAACCGATCCAGACAGTAAGCAAAAATACTCCCAAAATCGTCCTCCTGTAGAGGGACAGGCCCGACTTAAGCGCAGCCAGCCTCGGGAACCCTGATCCCTAAAACCTTCCGTTCTTGGCGTGGAGGAATCACTTCTAAACAACGAATTGCCATGTAGCGCCCCTCGCGTGGGTAGAAGCCAGTTGGGGGGGACGTCGTCGTGACACTTGCTGCGAGTCTTACCGCGTCCTTCCTCATCATCCGTTCTGTTTATTCCGCTGCACATGCTGCCTCCTCCTGTTATGGTCTTTCCATGCGTGTCTCTCTCGTCCTCATCCTTGTCCTTCAGACACCCTCCTCCTCTGCCTCCTCGTCCTCGTCAACCTTCTTCTCCCTTTGCTCTTCCATTCTACCCTCCTCCTCGCCATCATCATTATCATCTTTCCCCTCCTCCTTCTCCTCTTCGTCTATGTTTCCCTCCCTCCCTCAATCCTCCTCCTCCTCCTCCTCCTCCTCCTCGTCCTCGTGGCTGTTCCCTTTCTTCCCCTTTCTCTTCCTCGTCGTTCTCTTCCAACTTCTGATTCCCTTGTCTCTCCCCTCCCCCTGCCACGCTCTCCCAGAACGTCCAGGAATGTCAGGAAGCACCGCGGAGAGAGTGGCGCCGAAGACTCCCCCGAGCCACGCTCGGAACCTGCTCCCCCCCCCCTCCTGGCCCTGGCAAGTGCTCCAGAGATGCTGCCCGAAGGATGGGCGGTACCAGGGCACGCTCGCGTCGCCAATAAAACGGATCTTTGTTCCTGCCTGTCAGCCTCTGGGGGCCCTCGCCGAGCTCCGGGACCGTCCAAGACGGTCCAGGGCGAAACACCGGTTCTGGGGAAAGGGTCGGGACTTCCGGGGACCGCGCAGGGAAAAATTCAGGACATCGCATGTCTGGGTAATGACCTTCCGCCACCGGGTGCTCCCACTTCTGCCTCCCCGGTCTCCTCCTCGCCTTCTTAGAAGAAAAAGCCATATAAACATACACTTTTGGCGCTCCGCGCGGATTTCTTGGATCCGCGCCGGACCCCCCTCCCTGGCGCGCGGAGCGCGCCAGGGGCGGCGCCGGCGGCGCCGGAGGTGCCGCCAGGGGGGCCCAGCGCGGATATGTTTATGTGTTTGTTTCTTCTTCGATTCTGTCTTCCACTCACTCTCCCCAGGAGGGGTATCCAGAAGTGCCGGAGGCGCGTGGAGCTGGATCGAGGCCCCCAGAGGCTTACAGAGGGGAAGAAAACCTGCCCGACGACCTATTATTTTTGTTGACCCTCGATCCTGATCCTCGGATTCTCCTCTTTACGGAAACACATGTGTGCTATTTCGGAAACCCTGAACCCAAAAACGTGTTCATCTCTTGGGGGCGCATTTTTCACTTCCGCCGCCTTCCGCCGCCCTTCCGCCTCTTTTTACTTCCGCCGCCCTTCCGCCGCCTTCCGCCGCGGAAGAGATGACAGCCCCTTTTACTCGCGAAGGCAAGGCCGTTTTTAGAACGCCCCAGGTGTTTTTGTTGCAATTGGAGTACTACTCCTGGGGCTCGCACCAGAACTACAACAACAGCGGGTCCTGCCTTATTTCTCTTCGCAACTTCTTGAAGAATCGCGCTCTCGCCTGAGACGTCCTCACAACTTATTCACGTATCGCTCTCTCGGCGCTCAAGAATCGCGCTCTCGCCTGGACTACCTCATCATTTACTCGGGAACCGCGCCCTCGCCTGAGACGTCCTTGCCATCCCCTCTTGCTACGCCCTCTTGCTAACCCCTCTCGTCCTCCCTTTCTTGTCCCTCTCTCAGGTGACCCGATACGCAACACGCAACACGTAGCGTATTGATACGGAGCTCAGCACGTAAACTGAAAACGTCGTGGGTCTGACGCGATGCGTTGGCCAAAACGTGGGCCAACACGTTGAGCCGACACGCGGCGTATCGAGGCGGACGTCTTGAGCACGTTACGAGCTGCGTTCCACAGCGGGCGCATCGAGGCAGCGGAATTCCCTCTTGCTCCCTTCCCTCGTCCTTCCCCTCCCCATACCCCTTCCTCCTCGCTCTCTCCCTGTGCCACTGCTTCCCCACATGTTTCGTGGGGTTCTGGTTTTCATCCCTGCCGCGTCGCACCCGCGACCCTCACTCACCTCCCCTCCTCCTCCTTCTCCTTCTCACACAGCGCAGCACAGCTCAGCACAGCACAGCAGTGCTCGGCACAGCACAGCACAGCACGACGGTCGTCCAGGGCACAGCAGGCGTGGGGTTTTGTCGACACCATAAGGGGTGCGCAGGGGGTGATCCCCGAGCGCGGCGTCTATGCGGGACATGGCGCAGGGAATAGCAGGCGTGGCACTTTCTCGACACCATAAGGGGTGCGCAGGGGGTGGTCCCCGAGCGCGGCGTCTATGCGGGCCATGGCGCAGGGAATAGCAGGCGTGGCACTTTCTCAACACCAGAAGGGGTGCGCAGGGGGTGGTCCCCGAGCGCGGCGTCTATGAGGGCCATGGCGCAGAGCATAGCAAACGTGGCACTTTCTCGACGCCAGAGGGGGTGCGCAGGGGGTGGTCCCCGAGCGCGGCGTCTATGCGGGTCATGGCGCAGGGCATAGCAGGCGTGGCACTTTCCCGACACCATAGGGGGTTGCGCAGTCAGTGGTCCCTGAGCGAGGCGTCTATGCGGGCCATGGCGCAGGGAATAGCAGGCGTGGCACTTTCTCGACACCATAGGATGTACGCAGTGAGTGGTCCCCGAGCGCGGCGTCTATGCGGGCCATGGCGCAGAGCATAGCAAGCGTGGCACTTGCTCGACGCCAGAGGGGGTGCGCAAGGGGGGGTCCCTGAGCGCGGCCGCTATCCGTGCCGGTCGTCCAGGGCCTAGCAGGCGTGGCACTTTCCCGACACCATAGGGGGTGCGCATGGGGTGGTCCCTGAGCGCGGTCGCTATCCGTGCCGGTCGTCCAGGGCGCTGTTGTCCGTGATGGTCGTCGAGGGCATAGCAGGCATGGCATAAACTCGACACCACAGGGTGCGCACGGTGTGGTCCTTGAGCGCGGCCTCTATCCGTGACGGTGGTGCTCAGGGCACATCGGTACGCAAGTTTGCTATCCGTGCCGGTCGTGCTCAGGGCACAGGGGAACGCTGGCGGAGCAGGCGTGGCATATTCTCATAACCTTAGGGGGTCCGCAGGTGGTGGTCTTTGAGCGCGGCCGCTATCCGAGCCGGTCGTCCAGGGCGCAACAGGCGTGAAGTTTCTCGACGCCATAGGGGGTGGGCAGGGAATGGCCACCAACATCATTATCACATGCTTCTCTTCAGCTATCATCACTCCAGCCATAATATAAGTATGTGGGGTTCCTCGGTAGCGTAATTAGCTTCTTCCGGTTTAAGGGTTGTGCCACTTTTTGTGAGGAGCAGGAAATGGGAGCGGGCAGCGATAGCCATACACGACTCATGTTCGTCGCAAGGTTGTCCTGCGAACGTGGCCGAAAAACTTTGCAGCGAACATGAGTCGTGTATATTATGAGGGCGCGCCGCTGGATCTCCCCAAGGGGGGGGCGGGGTTGGGACCCCCCACCCCCTTTCCCCGATCCGTCGTCGGGCCCCCCCCCCTTTCCCGATCCGTCGTCGGGAACCCCCCTCCCACCCTCCCCCCTTTTCTCGGTCCGTCGTCGGGGCCCCCCCCTCCCTCCCCCCCCTTTGGCCGCCAAATTCGACCCCCCCCTCCCCCGTTTCGCCACGGCGCCCCCGGGCTCCGGAACCCGACCCCTGCCACCCCTAACACTAAATCGCTGTTCCCTATTAATGAACACCCCCTCCCCCAGGCGACTGGTAGCCAACCAGCCCCCTACCATGCCTTGTAAACAAAAAGCAATACAAAACACAGGTTGCCTCCAAATTCGGAGCATGCGCAGCCAACCCGATGCGACTCCCCCCGCCATCCCTGTCACAAAAACAATACAGAGTACACTTGGCGGCGGCGGCGACAGCGGCTGCTGCGGCGGCGGCGGCGGGGGCGGCGGCTGCGGCGGCGGCGGCGGCGGTGGCGGCGGCAGATGCGGCGGCGGCGGCGGCGGCGCGGCGGCGGCGGTGGCGGTGGCGGCAGCGGCTGCGACGGCAGCGGCTGCGGCGGCGAGTTGGCAACGGGGGCGGCGGCGGCGGCGGCGGCGGCGGGCGGAGCGGCGCGGCGGCGGCGACGGCGGTGGCGGCGGAGGCGGCGCGGCGGCGGCGGCGGGCAGCGGCTGCGGCGGCGGCGGCGGCTGCGGCGGCGGGGGCGGCGGCGGCGGCGGAGGCGGCGGCGGCGGCGGCGGATTGGCCCCCAGTAGCTGCCCATCCAAAGACGACTGCTAAGGCTTGGGCCAGACTCGGGTGCTACGTATGTGTTGGGAGGGCGGGTGGGAGTGAGCGAAACGGTTTGCTGGCGGGGAGGGAGTCTTGTCCTCACCCTTACCCGAACCTCTAACCCTAACCCCAAACCCTAGCCCTAGCTTCAAACAAGACTCACTACTCATTACGCACTACGCACTATCTACTACTCCCTACTCGCTACTCACTACTCACTTCTCACTAATCACTACTCACTACTCACGTATCACTACTCACTACCCACCTCTCAGTACCCACTACCAACGAGTCACTACTCCTTACTCCCTACTCACTACCCACTACTCACTACTAACTACTCACTACCCACTACTCAAGACTCACTACTCACTAAACACAACTCACTACCCACTGCTCACTACTCACTAATCACTACTCACTACCACTAACCACGATCACCGACTCACTACTCACACTTCACTACTCACTACTCACTGCCCACAACTCACTATTCACTATCCACCACTCGCTACGCGCCATTCCCTACACAGTACGCACTACTCACTACTCACTACTCGCTACTCCCTAC